CTGCTTCTCCCTCTCCCGCTCCCCCTGCTTGTGTTCCCTCTCTCGCTGTGTCTCTCTCTGTCAAATAAATAAATAAAATCTTAAAAAAAAAAGAAAAGAAAAGTTTGCAGACCCCTGTCTGGCACTTCAGAGCACTGCCTGGCTGGGTCTAAAAATTTAAACCAGGTTCCCTCGTCAACCTATACATTATTAACAGATAAGGAGAACAGTCTATGCTCTTAAGGAACCAAAATAACCACAGGATTAAATAAAATATTTTTGCAAACTTTAGATTTCTAAAACCAAACTTTAGATCTAGAGTGTACATTTTGCACATTGAGTAAAACTTAACAAGAAAGACAACCAACCAATGAATACACCAGCTGTTCATACAGTCATTCGGGAGACATGTAATGAATACCCATTATGAGTGGAACTAGCATCTGACTTATTTCTTTTTGGTGTTTTTAAAAGCTGGCCTTCTGGAACAACTGGAAGCAATGAGAGATGAGAGACTATCTAAAGTCTTCACATTGTTCCAAGCCAGAGTACGGGGCAAATTGATGTGAATCAAGTTCCAGAGGATTCTGGAGGAGAGGTATGATATGCCTACCCTACACACCCACTGCCAAAGGAACGGTGTACCTGAATCAATGCGACCTTAGCTCACTATCTTGTAATAGGTCAGCGTAAAGGGCTGCCACCTCTGCTTAGGCTGGGACTTCACTGAAAATTTTTAAATCCTGGAACACCAAATAGAGCACCAAGGGCTTTTATTGCTTTATCTAAACAAGTATAACATAATTCAGATATTTCTTGTATTGTTTCTGGGCTTCCCTTTGGAGGAACTCTTTATAGTCAAGGAAGTCTGGATCTCTGAGGGTGGCGTGACTCTACAATTCCTAACAGGAGCAGACCTGGAAAGGTTTGCATGCATCCCACAGCCAACTCTAGGGAAATTTGCTGCAGAATGAGGAGGTGTTCCGACCACTTTACAACCTCCCCTGGGTCAGAAACTGTGACTCTTGGTGATATGTAATCCTAACTCTCTTATTTCATTTCAGGCAGGTTCACTAGGGACATTTATCACCACATTTGGACACGAAGGTGTAGGTTTTGTCTATTCTTTAAGAGAATTGTGGAAAACAAGCTAGCAAAATTTCCAAACAAAGGGATCGTGAGCAAGAGATTCTGCAGTTTTTGTTTTTACTCTTTCTACGGTGTAGTTTACCTTCTGGAGAGAGGTCCACAGATCTTGGTATAACTTGTTTAATTGACTGTCTGTTAATTCCTTCTGTTTTTCCGAAGAAGAAAAAGATCATTACATGGTGATATCAAAGGTATTAGAGAGACCTTTCCTAAAGAATCTTCTGTGACTCATATCATGCTCAGTAAGATATGGGAATTGATGGGAGTTTGGGGATCAGAAGACATGTCTTCTAGGACTAGTTATGTAAATGTGGGTAAAACTCTTAATTTCTATATAGTTCGCTTCCTTTATCTGTAAAATGAGGCCTTTTTAAAAATTTTTATTTATTCATTTGAGAGAGAGAGACAGAGAGCACAAGCAGGGGGAGAGGCAGAGGGAGAGGGAGAAGCAGGGAGCCTGACGCGGGGCTTGATCCCAGTACCTGGAGATCATGACTTGAGCCGAAGGCAGACTCTTAACCAACTGTGCCACCCAGGTGCCCCATGTAAAATAAGGTCTTTACTATCCATTCCTTCTAAATCATAGGATGGCTTTAAACAATTTTTTTTAATTTTTAAATTTTTTAAAGATTTTTATTCATTTATTTCAGACAGAGAGAGAGAGAGCACGAGCATGCGCCCGAGCAGGGAGAGGGGGCGTGGGGGGATGGGGCAGAGGGGAGAAGCAGGCTCCTGGCTGAGCAGGGAGCCTGATACAGGGCTTGATACGAGGACCCTGGGATCATGACCTGAGCTGAAGGCAGGTGCTTAACCGACTGAGCCACCCAGGCACCCCGGCTTTAAACAATTATTATAAAATATTTCAAACACACAAAAAATACAGAAAATATTCTAATGCACACTCATGGAGCTTACCATCAAAGTTTAGCAGTTCCTAACATTTTCTCTATAATCACTCACAGTTTAAAAACATTTACAAAATTGAAGCCCCTTGTGTATTTCTCCCTTGATCCAGATCCTGAATTTGTGTTATCATTTCATGTTTCGTTCATGTTTCATATACAAAACATATAAAGGTATGTTTTCATACCTTTAACGTATTTTTCTGTAGTTGCTCACAACATTAAAAAAAATAAATTAACAGATACAGTTGAAGCCCCTTGTCTATTTCTGCCTTGATCTGAATCCTATGGAGATAGGCAGATATCCTTAAAAGGTTACATGAATTTGCCTGTTTTCAGTCTTCACATAAATAATATTCTGTATATATTATCCTGAAATTTGTTCTTTCTATTCAGTACTATTTTTGAAATTTATTAATGTTGATAAATCTAGTGCTAGATTATGGATTTTAACTGCTATATAGTATTCCATTGTACAAATACACCATGATTTATTTATCCATTTTCTAACTCAAGTAAATTTAACTCATTTATAATTTTTTGCTATTTGGAACAGCTCTGTAGTGTCATTTTTGTAAATGTCTGCCCCTGCACATATGCGGGAGTTTCTTGAGGGCAGTGTTACTTAAAATGCTGGTTCATGCTCTGAGAGTTTGTGGGTAACAGCTGGTGAGGCCCGCACTTTCAGTAGCTTTTCTCTAGGGTATGAATTAGTAGATTTTGGCCTACACACCACTTCATGAGATATTGCTAAAATGCTTTCCAATTTACTCTTCACCAGAAGTGTATAAAAGTCCCATTGTTCTATATTGTTGCCAACTTGTGGTATTTTGGACTTCAAAAACTTTTGCCAAACTTTGTCGTATTTCTGACTTTGGGGAAAGCTAGCATTTCCCTTTTAAGAAGATGTTGACTGTAGATTTTTCTTTTTGTAGGTATGATATATTGTGTGGAGGACATTTATTCTATTTTATCAGGAAAATGGTTAAATTCTTTTTCTGCATCTGGTGAAATAATTGCATAGTTTTTTCCCATTGACCTATAAGTGTATTGAATTATATTAATAGATTTTTTAAAATGTTAAACCCACTTTGTTTTTGAAATATCTTTTCCATACAATGATGGGTTTGGTTATAGTATTATCATGAGGATTTTTGCAACATTGTTCATGAGTAAGTTTGGTAATTTTTTTTCTCCTACTACATTATCTGACTTTGGATCAAGATGACCTCAACATTATAAAACAAGTGGGGAATGTTTCCTCTTTTCAAAACATGAAACAATTTATTTTGATTATCTGTTCCTTGAATGGTTAGTAAAATTTGCCTGTAAAACCACGTAAATCTGGTGATGGGGTTTTTTGATAGATTTTACAATTTTGATTCCATTTATTTAACAGTTGCAGGCCTATTGAGATTTTCCTTTCTTCTGGAATCAGTTTAGATGAGTTTCTTTAAAAAAATTGTACATTTCTTTTAAATTTTCCAATTTGCTAGATTATGATTTTTAATCTCTATCATAGCTATAATTATATTTCTAAAGCATAATCCTGGATTATTATATTCTTAAAATATTATTTTTGTATTGTTTATTTCTGCCTTCTCTCCTTTTTCTCTCCATTTATGTCAGATGTTTATTTAGACTATCTAATAAATCACCTTTTTCTCATTTTGTATTTTATTCTAATTTATTAGTTTCTGATCTCTTCTTTATTCTTTCCTTCCTTCCACTTGCTTTGGACTTATTATTAATTCACAATTTTTTTCAATGTGTCTAATCAGCTGCTTAATTCTCCTATTGAGTGTTTGATTTAAATGACTATATTTTCCAGTATTAGATATTTTATTTGGTCCTCTTTCAAATCTTTCTGCCCTTTTATCATAATGGCTTATTTCTTTCTTGTTTTTTCAAGTCTTTCCTCTATGCCTTTAAGAATTTTTAACAATTATTTTATGGTCTCCACCAGATTGTTCAATTGTTTGAAATTCTTGGGTGGTTAATCAAACTTTTTATTATAGTTGCTCACCCTCACTGATGGTTGATTTTTTTTCTATATGTGTTTTGTAATTTTGAAGCGTAAGCTCATCTTCAAAGGGACTTTAATAGAATCTCTGATGCTTGATTTTAGGGTATTTACTTCAGTGCACATTTGCATTTTCCTTTCCCAAAAGCCCAAAGGGTATTTATTACCAGTGTAAAAAATGATGGTGCTGAATTTTTACATACATCTGCACTGATCAGATAGTATAATTTAAACCTCACACATTCCAGTGGTGCTGGTCCATGATAAAAAAAAACCTCCTGGAGTAGAATTTTTTCTTTACCCTGAGCCCAGAATAAATCAGATGTATTTCTCTTTGACATCACTTTGTGTCGGTGGTGAATTTTTTAATTTTTATTTTCATGAAGGGTGATGTTCTTTGAAAGTCTCAGACTGTCTCTTTATCCATGTGGATATAAACATACAAATTCCTACAATACCAAGACTAGATCCCTCCTTCCATGAAGATGGCCAAGCTATACACACATTGATTTTTCGTTAAGGTTTTCTGCTCCCTCTTTCTTTCTTACCCTCTTTCAGGCTCAGTTCTCATTGAAAGGATGTGTGCAGTGGGAATATTTTGGGGGCATCTGGCCCACAATATTGCTAGCCCCAGAAATCCCTCATAGGGCTTTTGCCAGAATCAAGTGAGAGCCCAGATGTAGAAGCGCTTTGAAGACTAATAAGAAATTTTAATGACTCCTCAAAAGATATGCTTCTTAAGGATCTTAATTGGGAAAATGGCTCTCCTATTGTCTGGGTTAATTTGTTTGTCTTTATTCTCTCTTGATTTAGGGATGCACTTCTTTTGATCCAGCGGAACCTAAGTGTTTTCATGGCTGTGAAGACCTGGCCCTGGATGAGGCTCTTCTTCAAGATCAAGCCTCTTGTTAAATCTGCTGGAATGGGAAAGGAGATAGCTGCTCTGAAGGAGGAGTGTGTGGAACTGCAAAAAACCTTGGAGAAATCGGAGTCTCGGAAGAACTGAAAGCAAAGCAGTTCTCCTTCATTAGGAAAAAGAATTACCTGCTTCTTCAGCTGCAGGCTGTGAGTGGCCCCACCATTTGTTCTTCACATCAAATTTTTAATTAGAGTCCCTTGTTTTGCAGGCAGTGTTCACTCGAGAAAAATGAGGCATGTGCTTTTCAAATACTACAGCATTTCACCAAACACAATGGAAATACTTTAGGAGACACCCTGTTTCATAGTGAAGTGATTTCATTGGCAGGATGTCTTTGAAAAGGGAACAAACTCTTAGATGGGTTTTAACTATATAAAAGCACCACAATCTATCATGGGAGCCAAGAAGCTCTGAGTCTTAATTTAAATTTTGTGTGATCCATTAGCAAATCAAAAGACAGGATTTAGTAGATCCTGAGAAAAGCTTTACTGAAATCTTCAGGATTATTGCAGTATGCTTCTAGTTGTTTTCCTGATTTTGGTCTCTCTACTTCCCCTACCCTAGTCCAAATCAACTTCACTAATCAGTCCAATTCTTAAAAGAGCAGCTCTCAACATTGGCTTTGCCTCAAACTTATTGGTGAAGCATTAAAAAAATAAAAAGAAAGATGCGTAGACCCCACTGTCAGATATTTTGATTAAGCAGGCCCTACGTGGGTTCAAATAATCTATATGGGTGATTCTGCTATCCAGTTAGGATTGAGAACCATTGTCTTAAACAAACATCATGTTGCTTCCCTGATGAATAAGTTTCAGATCCTGCAATATGTGCATTATAGATTCCAGACCCTTGGCCTTGGCATCCGAGCCTCCATCTCCAATCTGATACCGGTGTGCCATTACTCACTGCCTTATACATTCCTCCTCTCTCATCACCAGGACTGCTCTTATCCCCAAACATCCAAAAGGCAGGGATAAGATTTTCTCCACTGTTATATTCTCCACCCCACTTAACCACAGTGCTAAGTTAAAAAATACTGGGTTCCAGTACAACTATATACAATTTATAATACAATTTATACAATACAATTATAGAACATTTTTTCCTGATTTTTGAACTTACAGAAAACAGAGAAAATTTAGTAATTTTAGACTGATCCAAGTTATTCTTTTATCTGGGGGTTATGCTATTCATCAGTGTTCCAAATGGCCGTATTTTGCAGATGAATTTCACCCAGGCCCATATTTTTCTTTCTTTTGTTTTTAAAAGATTTTATTTATTTATTTGACAGAGACACAGCGAGAATGGGAACATAAGCAGGGGGAGTGGGAGAGGGAGAAGCAGGCTTCCCGCTGAGCCCCCCCCTACGATGTGGGGCTTGATCCTAGGACCCTGGGGTCATGACCTGAACCGAAGGCAGATGCTTAACTGACTGAGCCACCCAGGTGCCCCCAGACCCATATTTCTGATACACAGTTAACATAATATTGGTTTCAGAATTTTAGTGTATTTCAGCCTCACCTGGGATACTTGTTAGAAATACAAATTCCTGAGCCCCACTCCAAACCTACTTTAAATTCATACTGTGAAAATCACCTTTTGTTTTTTTGTAATATCATGTTTTGTGTGGCTTGGGGGAGAGGCAGCTTTGGATGAGACCTGACCTCCCAGCTTTCATCATTCTTCCTGTCAACAGAGAGAGTGGCCAGTGCTACCTAGGCTGATATGGGAGATAGAAATGGACCCAACTCGTGCAGCGGATGGTAGGTAAAAGCCTGGGATACCTGATAAAGGATCAGCATGAGGAACATGGGAAACCCATGGAAGCCCATGGGGGCAAACCCAGGAAGGCTGAGATGAGTTTAAATTGTAACTGAGATTTTAAAAGTTGACAGAGCTATGACATTATTTTATTATTATTTATTTTTAAGGGACACAACTGAACACAGTAGGGATCAAAGAAACAAAGATTCTTTTCAAATCATTCACTTACTCAAAATACCAGCAGAACTGAGTGAACCCATTCTGATTAACATTATTAACTGCTCTCAGGGAAGGAATGTTCCTACTATTAACCTGCCACACCATTGCTCAGCTGGCCCCCAAATCCTGCTGTCATGTTTAATGAAGGGATCAATGATGGTCGATTGGACTGTCTTCTTCATTCAGTGACGGTGACCGGTCCAGTACACATACTGAATGGAATAGAGCAAATAAGCATTCTGCTTGTCAACCTGGTGTGAACTAAGATCAAATGTTCCCATTATTTCCTGAACATTGAAAGCTTCTCTGATTTGCATGGACCCTTTCTGCTTTGACGTTTTTGTTTGTTTTTAATTTATCCCTTTTCTTTTGGTCCTCAGTGATTTTGGAGATTTACTATTCTATGCCTTCCCCATCTGTGCCTTTTTGAGCCCCATTTGTTGGCAGATGTCCATTCTTAAGAGTTAGCCAGAAATCAATGGCCTAGAATTTTGCCATTTTCTTCTCTTTTTTCCTCAAATTTTTACTTAAATTCTAGTTAAGATATAGTGTACTATTGGTTTCAAGAGTAGAATATAGTGGTGATTCATCACTTACATATAACACCCAGTGCTCAACACAACTAGTGCCCTCCTTAATACACATCACCCATCTAGCCCATCCCCACCCACCTCCTTCCAGCAACCCTCAGTTTGTTCTCATAGTTAAGAGTCTCTTATGGTTTGCTTTCCTCTCTCTTTTTTTTTTCTTCCTCTATGTTCATCTGTTTTGTTCCTTAAATTCCACATAGGAGTGAAATCATATGGTATTGTCTTTTTCTGATTATTTCACTTAGCAGTATACTCTCTAGCTCCATCCATGTCATTGCAAATGGCAAGACTCCTTTTGATTGCTGAGTAGTATTCCATTATATATATATATATTTACATTATATATATATACTTACATTATATATATATATATACACACCACATCTTCTTTTTCCATACACCACATCTTCTTTTTCCATTCATCAGTCAATGGACATTTGAGCCCTTTCCATAATTTGGCTATTGTTGATAATGCTGCTATAAACACCAGGGTACATGTGCTCCTTCAAATCTATATTTTTGTATCCTTTGGGTAAATACCTAGTAGTGCAATTGCTGGATCATAGGGTCGTTCTATTTTTAACTTTTTGGGGAAACTCCATGCTGTTTTTCAGAGTGGTCGCACCAGTTTGCACTCCCAAACAACTTAAGCCAGGCAAATAGATAATAAATTGCTGGGGGTGAAGGGAGGAAAATCAGAGTGGGAGAGGAACCATGAGAGACTATGGACTCCAGGAAACAAACTGAGGGTTTCAGAGGGGAGGGGGGTGGAGGGATGGGGTAGCCCAGTGATAGGTATTAAGGAGGGCATGTATTGCAATGAGCACAGGGTGTTATATGCAAATAATGAATCATGGAACACTACATCAGAAACTAATGAAGTACTGTATGGTGACTAACATAATAAAAAAATTGCTGGGGGTGCCTGACTGGCTCAGTTGGTTGAGCGGCCAGCTCTTGATTTCAGTTCAGGTCATGATCTCAGGGTCCTAGGATAGAGCCCTGCATCTGGCTCCACGCTCAGTGGGGAGTCTGCTTGAAGATTCTTTCTCTGCCCGCTTGCATACCCCCTTTACTCTCAAATAAATAAATAAATCTTTAAAAAATAATAAATTTCCCAGAGTGGCATATTGCAAAGGATGAATGATGAGGTCTAGAGATGGAAGATGGAGATGTATGTGATGTTGCAATGAGACCTATATTTATTAAGAACTTGCTCACAAAGAAGGGGTCTTATTTAGCCTCTAACACAAATTAGAGAGGTTCAAAGTTATAAAACATTTTTTATAGCAAAAAGGCAATTGACCTCTTCATTTTTTTATTTGACCCATAACATAGGAACAATTGGGTCAATCAATGGAGACTTGGAGGTAGGATATTTGGAAGGATAAAAGGAAAGACTATTTTACACTTGTATAACTTGTGGAAGTTAACACTGGCAGAATCATTGAGGAAAAGATTTTCATTGGAAATAATAGTGAAATCTAGTTAGTAACTTGCAAGTAAAATTTATGAATTCTAAATTCAGCCTATAAATAAAAAATATACAATTCTACTTGTTGAAGATATATATATGTATGTTTATATAAAACAAGTGCATTAGGGCACTTACAATAATATTATAAATATTCTAGTGTCTGCGGGAACATTCTTTTCCTAAAAGACTGTATTCTGAGCAGGTATCAAACCTCAAACTCTATGCCCATGTGGATGCTTCCAGAAGCTGTGAGTTAAGCAGTACGCCACTGATTTTTGGAGGCATGTTAGATCCTTTAGGCCACCAGGATCCTATTAAGTGCTTTAAAGAGGTAATCTAATCTACTGAATGGCCTGAAAGATCAAAAGCACCTCCAAGCACAAAGCAACTCCTCTACTTCTCAACAATAGGATCAGGGAAGTGGGAATTTTATTTCACCTGCTGAGGAAAGGCAGGTGAAAGTGCTGGTCACAGGGCAGGCAATTATCTCTTTGCTATGCGTTAAGCAGCATTTTCATCTAGCTGATAAATTTCCAGCTGTTGGCAACAATTTTCTCCTCATCATGGCAGGAGCAAGAGACCCTGGCAAATGTTGAAGAGAAGTGCGAGTCGCTGATTAAATCCAAGATCCAGCTGGAGGCCAGAGTCAAGGTGCTGTCTGCGCGGGTGGAGGAAGAAGACGAGATAAATTCCGAGCTGACTGCCAGGGGGCAGAAGCTCGAAGATGAATGTTCCGAGTTGAAGAAAGAAATCGATGACCTGGAAACAATATTGGTGAAGTCACAGAAGGAGAAGCGTGCTACAGAGCACAAGGTACTTTTTTGATAATGTTAGGGAGGCCTGGGTGCCCGAATCCCACCCCCCATCGGGTTCTGGTACCAGACTTGCTCGGCTCAAATGAATGAACTCGGTAGCCTGCAACTTTACAGCAGTCCGAGTCGAAACCGGCATAAAATGAAGGGTCAGATGAACTGTACTGTCCCGATTCAAATTTCCAATTCAAATTTATGGAACCCCGCTTAATTTTCCAAAGGAAACATCTTCACTTGTTTCAATCTTATTATACCCGAAATCTAGTAGAAAGAACAGAATAGTTTCATCGGGCCTCTGAGTACTTTTTTGGAAGGAGAGCGAGCATGATGCACTTTACTGAAAGGTGATTTGGGATGACAAACCCAGCTCTGTCATTAATTATTTGAAGTTCGACCTTGAAGATGTTAATTCCAGTTACAGATTTTGACATTCCGTTCATTTCAGTTGAGGGTTTTAACTTGCGCCTCTGTGTACAGATTGAAACTAGCTGAGGAGTCTATATCCAACCTCTGATAAACAACTGGTCTCTGGAATGACACTGTAGTTTTGGCAGACGATTAAATAGCAACTCTTGGGCCATTGGTTCCCTTTCATAAAAAGCATGTGGGCCTGATACAGCCAGCTTCTATTTTTGCATGTTTGAACAGCTGGAACTCTTCTTTCATTGCCACGCTCAGGATCTGAGACACAACAAGATTGCTACGTGCCCCTTGAGTACTCAGAAAACTACCTTTTGTGGTGTTCTTGTTATATAATAATACGACGCTCTGAAACCTGGCCATCAAATAAGCTATCTTGATATCTGCTTTGCCAGAATACCCCATTCCCTAAGTCTGTGTGTGTGTGTGTGTAAGAAAGAGTGAATTTAGAGTTTTTAAAATATATTGGGAATTTAGCTAACTTTGGTTCTTTATGACATTGGATTCCTCTTGAGACTGTACTTGAAACAGCCCTTAGCCTTATGCCCACCCTGTCACTGGAACCTCTAATGCTGCTCTCACTGTCTTCTTCCCACAGGTCAAGAACCTGACTGAGGAAGTGGAGTCTCTAAATGAGGATATGAGCAAACTTAACAGAGTGGCCAAGGTCATGCAGGGGGCCCATCAGCAGACGCTGGACGACCTGCTCACAGAGGAGGACAAACTCAGCAGCCTGAGCAAAGCCAAGTTGAAATTGGAACAGCAAGTACATGAGGTAGGTGGTGTTGTGTCTCGCTAGTTAGCCGTCTGCATGTATACAAACCTCTGATTTTTACTTAATTTATCTCGACGGCTTGGGGAAAACTTAGTAGCATGGCTTGTATCTTTAATATTTAGAAACAGAGGTTTATTTTTTTTCTAAAGATTTTATTTATTTATTTGACAGAGACACAGCGAGAGAGGGAACACAAGCAGGGGGAGTGGGAGAGGGAGAAGCAGGCTTCCTGCAGAGCAGGGAGCCCGATGCGGGGCTCGATCCCAGGACCCTGGGTTCATGACCTGAGCCGAAGGCAGACGCTTAACGACTGAGCCACCCAGGCACCCCTGGTTTATTTGTTTCTTGATGTACACTGAACCATTTCTGCGTAAGAGAAGCCCCAGCATGTAATCTGTCAGTTTTTAAATGCAACCTTCACACAACCCTGGGCAGTGGGAGAGGAACATTGAGAGGAATTATAAAGGGTTATCCCTGTAAGTGACTGATTGTTTTTCCCCATAGCTCCCACAGAACCTGGTGTTTTGCCCGACAGATATGCTGGTTCTCTATTTGACACTAGTGTTGAAAGATTAGTTCAAAAGCCCTGTTGTGTCTCCAGTGGTGTGTTGAGGTTTATTTATAATTGAAAGGTATGTAAATCACAAGCTGTGTTCGACCTATGCTTTGGGAAAATACTTGTAAGATTCTAAAGCTGGTGTCCCTGTTCTGCCTCCAAACACCCCGTGAAATAAAGATTTTTTTTTTTAAGATTTTATTTATTTGCGAGAGAGACAATGAGAGACAGAGAGCATGAGAGGGAGGAGGGTCAGAGGGAGAAGCAGACTCCCTGCTGAGCAGGGGAGCCTGATGTGGGACTCGATCCCAGGACTCCAGGATCATGACCTGAGCCGAAGGCAGTCGCTGAACCAACTGAGCCACCCAGGCGCCCAATAAAGATGTTTCAAACCATTCTTCACGGTAGCTTCACCGTTCTTCCTTCCTGCCCCCAGCTGTCAGAGCTGATGCGTTCACTCTCTTATTAGTTCCAAAAGCTTAGCTTTTATAAAATTGCTGACAAGGGTGATGTGGTTTTTTATTCGAATTACTTCTTTTTCCTCATGTCTTTCTATCAGTTTCCTCTATTACCTGTTAGTTGTCTCAATTCTCTTCCTATTTCCACTGATTGTGTGTCTCACAAAGCCTCAATATGAGGATTTACTGTGTATGTGTGTGCTCGCACGTGCACTCTCTCGCTCGCTTGCTTGCTTGCTCTTTAGCACGCTCTCGCACGCACACACGCACACACACTCACTTGTTCTCTCCAGGAGTTCATCTACTTTCAGGTTTTTACACACTCCTTCCAGAAATTCTCCCTCCTCCTCCTGTTTGAATTTCATATATTTTGCTGGTTACAGGAAATAGCTTCTATTGCTGAAAAGTAAACATTTCAATATATCCGTGAACAAATAGCCATACTGTAACTGTTATCTAGCCTCCTGCTAAACCAACCTCAATATTGTTGACAGTGCTAAGTTGACCTGTTGAACTTTTGACAGTTCTGACCACCCTGGTGGGGAACCAGAATCTGACATAATGTTATGGACTAGAAAATAGGAGGTGTGGAAGTCATGCCATGTGAGATGTGTATGAAAGGGTCTGTGATACTGAGTTGGGAGATTCAGGACAGCTGCCTCATATTCATAGATGATTGTGTGGAGATAGATTTTCTTGGTGTTGCTCCAGGGAGCTGAGCTTAGACTCATGGGAAGAATTTACAGAGAATGTTTTGGCTTCTTATGAGGAAGCACTCCTGAGTAAATGGACTTATCCACCCATGAAATGAGCTGCCGTATGAAGAAGTGGGCTTCCCATCAGTGAGAAACAATCAAATAAGGGCTCCCTGGCTTTTATTATTGGCTCCTTTCTTAGGACAGAGCTCATACTCCTTAATCTCCAAAGTTGTCTTTCATCACTGTAATTTCTAGATTTTTTGTTGTCTTATCAATGCATGCAATATTTATTTTAAGATATCTACACAGCTGGGCATCATTTACATAATATGTGCTTGTATTTTTCTTTTTTTCAGAAGGTAAGTGTTCATGAACACATCTAGTGAAATATAAACTTTACCAATTTATTTGGCTAAATAATACCTCCTTTTGTCAGCTTGAAGGTCAGGAGAGGAAAGCAAGAATGAACTGTGAGAGGGAAAAGAGCAAACTGGAGGGCGATTTTAAGCTGCAGTGTGTGAGTATGAAGCACCTGGAGAGCGGCCAGGTGCAACTGGCAGAGAAGCTGAGCAAGTAAGCCACCTTGCTGTTGACGCAACATTCCGGAAGACCTTAGGGCGGAAGGAACTGCTCTCTCATGTCATTGATCCTCATGACTCCAGGGCCAGATGTCTTAAGACCTGAAGGGGAAGATAACAAGCCTAGGAAATGATTTTTTTTTTTTTTGCTGGACTTTATTATATGGTTGTAAAAAGAGAGTAAATGCATAATCGAGAAGAATATGACTGAGAAGGTATCTGACTAGCAGGTGGGAAAGAAAGGTGTAATGCATATGAGACGTGAATTATTGAAATTTGAGGCTACAAGTCCAAAGATAAGAATGGCTCACCTCTTTTACTCATGATGAAACCACTGGAATAAATGTAAATAATAATAATTAATAATAAAAACCCGATAAAAACAAACAAAAAAACCCTAATGTGAAGTTCAATACAGGCCTCTGGTCACTTTAAAAAAGTTTACCAGATATAACTTCATTGTTATTTATATAGCTTTTCTATCAACTAATTTACCATAGAAATATCCAATCTTAAAATTTAAAGCAAAACATAACAATGAAAATTAGTAGAACTTTCGGCTCACATGAACTTAGGGCAAAATGGGCCCTCAGTTTAGTTTCACTACTCAGTGAAATGGACTTTCTCATCTTGTCTCTTATCATCCTCTGCTTAGCTAGACTTTAATTCTAACCATTAGGGATTTTCAAGTTATTGCGAATAGATCAAATAAAAGGGGGAAGCAGTGAGGCCCAAGAGTGAGGTAAGGCCAGGATAAAGCTGGGAACGTGTCGTTCACTAGGGTTACAGGGAAGAAGAGAAGAGAGTCAAGTGAGTAGCTATGAGCCTCTGGTTTTTCTGTGTGCATGAGTTGCCATGATACATGCTCATGTTCAGGCTTGATTAATATTCTAAGAAGTTACTGGACTTGATAGATGTTTGGAAAAGAAGAAATAAGTAATCCTATAAATGTGTGGAACTTTGAAACTATGATAGAGGTCCCTGAGCATTCAATTTTAAGATGACGTTTCAGCTCAGCAAAGTGAAGATGATGCCCCATGTCCTTGTAGGCCCTAAGTCAAAGAGCTCTGGCATTTTAGAAATCTGTGTTTTTAGAAAGGTACAACCTTAACTATAAAACTTTCTCTCTAAATGGACCTATGTATATATAAAAAATACATGATAAAGGTGGCATTTCAAATTAGTGATGACTGGATAGAGTACTTAATAAATGGTGCTGAGATCATTAGCTATTCATTGTCTGAGATGAAAGTTAAACTTCTACCTCGCACTATTCACACACACAAAATCCAGTTGCATTAAAGAATTAAATGTGAAAACAAGGCTAACCACTAGAAGATGCAGCATTATTTACAATAGCTAAGACACAGAAGCAACCTAACTGTCCACTGATGGATAAATGGATAAAGAAAATGTGGTGTATACATATAATGGAATATTATTCAGCCTTTAAAAAGAAGGAAACCCTGCTGTATGTGACACCATAGATGAACCTGGAGGATACTATGCTAAGTGAAATAGGGAATCATAAAAGAACAAATACTTCATGATTGTATCTATATGAGACATCTAAAATAGTCAAACTTGTAGAAACAGAGTAGAATGGGGAGTGCTAGGGGCTGGAGGGAGTGGAAAATAGGGATATTATTTAACAGGTATGAAGTTTCAGTTATGCAAGATGACTGAGTTCTAGAAATCTGCTGTACAACAACGTACTTATAGTTAGCATTAGTGTATTGTGCACTTAAATATTTGTTAAGAGGGTAGATCTCATGTTAAATGTTCTTACCACAATAAAGACAACAAAAATCATTGGAAGACAATATAGGTGAAAGGTCTTGGGGAAAATGGCAGGTTAAGTTTTCTAGAATAAGTGACAAAAGCCAAAGACAGAAAAAGAATATTTTGATACATCTAATGATATCAAATATTTAAACATTTATGTGGCAAAACAACACAAAATCAGAACAAGTTATATAAGATGGGAGAAATATTTGCAGCAGAAATCAGAAAATAAGAATACTAAAAGGAAATCTATAGTTCAATAATTATATGAACAGCCTAGCAGACAAATGATTAAAGGATACCACCAGGTGGTTTATTTGGCTTCTTGGCCATTTTTGATTCCTCATAGTTGACAAGATGCTGCCTCACTGTTAAACAAAGACGTTAAAAAGAAAGACATTCTAATCTCTCTCCGACTAGGAAAAATTTAGAAGTATGCTAATATTAAGTGTAAATGTAGAGGAATAATCTCACACTGCTATTGCAGGGCAAAGGGCAGGGTTATATAATTTTAAGCACACACTTATACTTGACCCAGGGATTCCCTGCTTTGTAGCCACTCTAAGGAAACACTCACGTGTACACAAGAGGGCATAGATATGAACAGTGTTATTTACAATAGGAAAATATTGGGCAAAACTTGAGGGCTTATTAATAGGGAAATGGATAAATTACAGCATGTCTAAATCATGGAATAGTATGTCACAGTTAATTTTTAAATGAAGTCATTTTTGTGTGGGCCAACATGGAAAAACCTCCAATGTGTTATTGGGTTAAAAATAAGACATGGAAAAACCTCCAATGTGTTACTGGGTTAAAAATAAGTTATGGAACTATAAATACAAATACATACCATATTATACCTTTCACAGTAAAGAAAATGAAACTATTTCTACCGATATATAAGCACAAATGTATGTCAATACTTAGAAAAATGTCTGGAAGGATTCATACCAAACTGATAATGGTGTTTACCTCTAGGGAAGGAACAAAGATTGGGTGTGATAGCCAAGGAGATTTCAGATATAGATATAATAGTTGAGTTTTTGCAATGAGAATGAATTCATGTGTCATTACTATAATTTTAAAAATATTCAAGCCAAATGTTATCACTCTAAACAATTCCATTTGATACATTTTTCCCTAACAGGAAGGAACTAGAAATGAATCAGATGAATTTAAAGGTGGAGAAGGAGAAAGGCCTGGTGGCTCAGCTTCAAAACATGGCTAAAGAGCTTCAGATAATCATTTATCAAATACCTGTGTGTAGCTATATGTAGATTCACGGGTGATAATAGGTACTTCAGTAACAAATGCTTTGTCAGGGTATCCATACGCTTAGCCAACTATGGACAGAAGCAGAAAAGAGCAGTGGTTAAGAAGGGAGACTCTGGCATTCCCCAGATAGGTGACTTGGGAAAATTACTTTTTAAACTTAGATTTTCTTATCTATAAAAACACAGATAATTTGTTGAATATTTGCGGTGAACCAAACATTGTGCTAAAATCCTAGGCATTTATTTTTTCAGTTATTAATCTTCCTGACAACCTTGAGCTAATATTATTAAATGCAACACTACATTTAAGTGGTAAGCATAGAGCCTGATCCATGGTAAGCATTCAGTGTTAGCAATTTAATTTTTTATAATGATTAGTCTTTGTGATTAGAAGGCAATTCCGTTTCTGTGCTGAAAATCTGTTTTGTATCTACTTGTAGTCTCAAAACATTATTTAATAGTGGGAAGCTATTTATAAGTTTTAGACCAGGTAGCTGTTTTATACTATTTGAGCATGTTATAGAGTAATATAAGTATGTATGGGTATATACATATACATACACACACATATATATAACTCCTTACATATGCTGTATGCATATACATCTGTATGATAGATGTTTTTCCTTTGGAGCTAAATATTTATCTCAGTAATATAGCCATTACTCAAAATAATTTTGAGCCTCTTTCTGATAATTATTTTCTGAGACATTTTGAACCGAATAAGAAAGTCAGTCTCACTGATTTATAGGCATGATTTCAAACACAATATTAATCTCCAAGCGATTATCTATCATATTCACCAGGCTTGTCTTCAAATGATACTTGACTTTATCCAAAATAAAAAGACTCAGAAGTTTCAGTTTATCCAAAAGACAAATTCTCTTCCCTTGATGACTTAAAAAAATGCTCTAAAGATTATTTCTGAGGAGATGTTTCAGAAATGTTTGGTTTAATGATAGTATTGTTTGGGATAAAGTTATTGGATCCCAAAATAACTCGTTGGAAGGTGATCGTGTTTACTTGGGTGCGGAAGTCATAAATTTTTTTAGCACCTTTTCTGTCATAACTCATCTACAGATCTGGTAGCCTAAGTATTGGCATGATCTAGAAATCAGCATTCTCTAGCCATGGTACTCTTATTTAAAGGAAAGGAAGACATATTCTAAAATAGATCTTATCCTTTTTCACCCCTAATCTATGCCTAATTATTAAAGGCAATGTTAATGAACATCAGTGGCTTCCCTGTATTCCAATGATGCTATCAAGATTTGTAGAGCTATTTGCCCTTACACTAAAAGGGTTTTGGGCTCTGGGGGTTCTTATCACTAATTTCCTTTATCTGGTAATTCTTCCTCTAATAGTATCAGATTACTATTCATGGTAGCAGTCCTCATTCCTCCACCAATTCTCATTTGTTACGTCAGATTTCCTGGTACTTGAAATCACCTGCAGACTAAGGAGCCAAGTAACCAAGTTTGTCAGAATTGTGTGTAAAATTACACTGATGCTCTTTCTTATGAGTGAGTTGCTTGGATATTGGATATCAGAGATATTCATTCTATTCTTCAGATATTTGCCCAAGTTCCCAATAATTGAGATTGGTAAACTAATTCTAGAGGAGTGAGGTATTGTATATAAAATTCATCGTGTTAGTTTTTATTAAATCTCTTTAAATTTTTTTCTTGTTGTATGAAAAATGTTTCCTTATTGCTTTGGAAAGTGCTCTTTACTATAGTTTCCCGTCCATGTATAGAATTTATGAAGTTGCTCATCACCAAGGACTGGGAGATCTGGAGGAACTGCACATTTGAATTCTGGTTTTTGTACTGATTTGGGGAAAATAATTTAATCTCTCTGTATTCCATCTTCTTTGTATAAAATGGGAACCAAGAGTGTTATGTGACTTTTCTTAGTGTTGAGAAATGTATAAAAAGTACAGTAAAGCTCTTCAGTATAAAATATGCTACAAGTGCTTTGTAAAAGTCAAAATTATTTATTGCTACAGATAAAGATACAGGCTTTAAAAAGGGAACTGGAAGTTGAAAGGACCACCCGAGCTAAGATGGAAAGGGAGAGAGCTGACCTCACCCAAGAATTGGAAGCCTTGAATGAGAGGCTGGAGGAGGCAGGAGGTACCAGTTTGGCTCAACTGGACATAACTAAGAAACAGGAAACAAAATTTCAGAAGCTTCACTGAGACATGGAAGAGGCTACACTGTACTTCGAGGCAACTTCTACCACTTTGAAGAAGAGACATGCAGACAGCCTGGCTGAGCTCCAAGGTCGGCTTGAAAATTTACAACAGGTCAAGCAGAAATTAGAAAAAGACAAGAGTGACTTGCAGCTAGAAGTGGATGACCTCCTGACCAATGTTGAGCAGATGACCAGAGCTAAGGTAAACATTCCTAAGTCTACTTTACAGACTTCAGAACATGAAAGTAGGTGGGGGAGGGGAAAGGAAAGAAAAATAAACAAGATTGGTGACCTGAGGTGTTTGCTAATGGAGGCTATAGTTCTTTAGATTGACTAGAATCTGGCTTAATCTCAGTGGACATTGTGAAGGTCACATGGCTATTACCTTAATGTAGCCTGATAGTAGCTTCTGGTTTTATTGGAATTCCAGTCCATGTTTCTTGTGGATCTTTCTGGTGACGACATAAATAAGTAGGGTGAAAAGTGAAGCCACTAGTTATGTGAGTGGCGTGTCTCTCTTGAAAAATGGCATTGAGTGGGAACACTCCTTGGGGGTGGCTCAGACACTCTAGTGTTTGTCTCAATGAATGGTGGACAAAAAGAGCTTTGCTAACAGGAGAGACCTTTTCCCCCTCATCTTTTCTGGCATTTCTTTAACCAGCCAGCACTTAGAAGGACGTTTCACCATATGTTCTTTCTTCACTGAGCCCATTAGTCCATACAGTACAAGCTCTTTTATCAAATGACTAGTATCAGATCACAGGTAATGGCCATCCTACCTTCTGGTATTTGAGAAAAGGCTTATGTTAGGTTAAGCAGAACAAATACATACAACATTTTATTGAGCTTTGCTTCATTGTGCTTCACAGATACTGTGTTTTTTACCATTGAAGGCTTGTGGCAGCCCTAAGTTGAGCAAGTCTATTGGTGCCATTTATCTAACAGCATTTTCTCACTCCATGTCTCTGTGCCACAGTTTGGTAATTCTCACAACATTTCAAACTTTTTCATTATGATTATATTTATTATGGTGATCTATGATCAGTGATCTTTGATGTTATTGTTGTAATTGTTTGGGGGCACCAAGAACCATGCCCAATATAAGAAGGCAGACTTAATCGATAAATGTGTGTGTTCTGACTGCTCTGCCAAATGGCCATTCTCCTCTCTCCCTCTCCTTCGGCCTCTCTATTCCCTGAGACACAACAATATTGAAATTAGGCCAATTAATAACTTTAAAATGCCTTCTGAGTGTTCAAGTGAAAGGAAGAGTTGTACATCTCTCACTTTAAATCAAAAGCTAGAAATGATTAATCTTAGTGAGGAAGGCATTTTGGAAGCCAAGACAGGCTGAAAGTTGGCTAGGCCTCTTGTGCCAAATGGTTAGCCAACTTGTGAATGCAAAGGAAAAATTCTTGAAGGAAATTAAAAGTGCTACTCCAGTGAGCACATGAATTATAAGCAAGTGAAACAGCCTTATTGCTGATAATGGAGAAAGTTTTAATGGTCTGGATAGGAGATCAAACCAGCTACATCATTCCCTTAAGCTAAAACCTAATCCAGAGCAAGGGCCTAACTCTCCAATTCTGTGAAGGCCAAGAGAGGTGAGGAAGCTGCAGGACATGTTTGAAGCTAGCTGAGGTTCATTCATGAGGCTTAAGGAAAGAAGCTGTCTCTATAATATAAAAGTGCCAGGTGAAGCAGCAAGTACTGATGTAGAAATTGCAGCAAGTTTTCCAGAAGATCTGGCTTAAGTAATTCATGGAGGTGTCTACCCTAAACAAAGAAACTCAATGTAGACAGTCTTCCATTGGAAGAAGATGCCATCCAGAACTTTCATAGCTAGAGAGGAGAAGGCAATGCCTGGCTTCAAAGGACAGGCTAACTTTAGGGGCTAAAGTTGAAGCTAATGCTCATTTGCCATTCTGAAAACCTGAGGACCCTTAAGAATTGTGCTAAATCTACTTTGCCTGTGCTATAGGAATGGAAAAACAAAGCCTGAATGATAGCACATATTTGAAGCCCACTGTTGAGACCTACTGCTTGGAAAAGAAAATTCCTTTCAAAATGGTACTACTCATTGACAATGCAGCTGGTCACTGAAGAGCTCTAATGAAGATATACAACAAGATTCATGTTGTCTTCATGCCTGCTAACACAACAGCCATTCTGTAGCCCATGGATCAAGGAGTCATTTTGACTTTCAAATCTCATGATTTAAGAAATACATTTTTTAGGTCTATAGCTGCCACAGATCCATCACTGATGGATCTGGGCCAAGTAAATTGAAAATCTTCTGGAAAGCATTCACCATTCTAGATTAAGAACATTCTACATTAAGAACATTCTACATTAAGAACGTTCATGATTCATAGGAAGACGTCAAAATATCAACATTAACAGGAGTTTTGAAGAAGTTGGTTCCAAACCCTTCTGGATAACTTTGAGAGGTTCAAGACTCCACTGGAGGAAGTAACTGAAGATGTGGTGGAAATTGCAAGAGAACTAGAATTAGAAGTAGAGCCTGAAGATGGGATTGAAGGGCTGCAATCTCATGACACAACTTTAACCTAAGGAGTTGCTATTTATGGATGAGCAAAGAAAGTGGTTTCTTGAGACAGAATCTACTCCTGGTGAAGATGCTGTGAAGACTGTTGAAGTGGTAACAAAGGATTTAGAATATTACATAAACTTAATTGATAAAGAAAGCAGCAGCAGGGTTTGAAAGGATTGACTCCAATTTCGAAGGAAGTTCTACCATGGGTAGAATGCAATCTAACAGCATCACATGCTACACAGAAATCATTTATGAAAGGAAGAGTCAATTGTGTCAAAACTCATTGTTGTCTTATTTTAAGAAATTGCCACAGACACCCCAACCTTCAGCAACCACCACCTTGATCAATCAGCAGCCATCAACATTGAGCAAGATCCTCCACCGGCAAAAAGATTATGACTCACTGAAAGCTCAGATGATGGTTAGCATTTTTTAGCAATAAAGCATTTTAAATTATGGCATACACATTTTTTTAGACATAATGCTATTACACAGTTAATAGACTACAATATAGTTTATGAGCACTGGGAAACCAAAAAATTCGCTGACTCACTTTATTGTGATATTACCTTTATTGCATGGTCTGGCACTGAGCCTGCAATATCTCCAAGGTATGTCTGTAGCCAGAGTCACATTCTCCTTGTGAGCAGAATTTGTAAAGTTATCTGGGAAAGAGACAAACCAACAATAAAACTTAACCTTCATGGACTATAGCCAGAAAAATGTAGCATTTCTTCAGAAAGACTGAGTGACTCCTAAAATATTTAGCATTAATTCCCTTTAAAAAGCTCATTAAGTAGAAAGAAACACAACCACCCTGCTTTTCCTTCCCTTTCTTTCTCCCCACTATCCCTGCCATCCCACCCTCAATTATCTTAGAATGTAAATCTAGTAAAGATTTAAGTCCTCTCTCCTCTTTCTCTTCTGTATTCTTCCTTTTATGTGGACTCCTCTTTCTCTCAACAATGAAAGCATTCTTCCTCCATGCCCTGTAGGCTTCATTTGCTTTCCTCAGCCCAAATGAGTCTCTAGAAGTCCTTACTCTTTATAGTCTACTGTGCCTCTTGTTTATTCTCAGGAATTCTTCTGTTTCTGCACGTCTTAGTAGGAATTCATAGTCATAAAACTGTTGATAGGTTCACCGTAAATCCATACTAATTAGATATGAATTTCATACTTTCCAATTTCCTCTAGAATTTCATTGCTGCTCAGAAGTTCTTTATTCTTCTAATTCACTGTTTTATTTTAAACAAAATCCTCCCTCAGATTCTAACCCTGACTTTCTAAATCCTTTTCAATAAATGGTAAGACCTAACTGATAAGATCAAGACCATTCAGTATAACTTCTCTCTTCACCTTATATTTTTCTTATACTCATCCATTTCTTTCTTTCTTGTCCCAAAGAATAAAAAATTTTTCCACATAACCATTATTCACCCATTGCAAAAACAAACCAAAATAAGAAAAACTTTTCCTTGGATACTAGGAAGAGGAAAGCAAAGTCTATCCATATCCGCCTCTGTCTCCTTAACCAAAGAGTATTGTTCCATTTATCCATTGCTGTATAACAAATCATCCCCAACCCTTGTAGCCTGAAACAGCAATTTATTATCATCTCTCTTGGTTCTGGGGTTGACAGGCTTAGCTCAGATGGCAGTTGAGACTGGAGTCATCTGAAGTTTTATTCATTCTCATGTCTGGCTCCTGGGCTGTACAACTAACTAGAATGGCTGGGGGCTAGTTGGAAATCTTTCTTGCCATGTGGCTAGTGTGGGTTTTCTCATAGCATGGCAAACACGGGGGACCTGGACTTCTTACAAGGCAATTTAGGGCACAAGAGCAAGTATTGCAAGAGACCAAGACAGATGCTGCAACAATTCTAGTGAGGCAGACTTACAGTGCAGTGGAGTGATTCAGTTAGAAGTCAAAGGGTAGGCATCTATACAAAAGTGTAAATACCAAGGGTGTTGGTCATTGGGGAGCCATGTTAGGAAGCTAGCTCCCACCAGCAGATATATATGCCTCACTACCTCCTCAATCCTGTAACCCCTGCTGTCTTTTATTACCCCTGCTCTTCTTAAAAGTATTCTCTTAAGTTGTTCTTTCAAAGATCAGTGATGTCTTCCTTTCCTCAAATAAGTGTGTCTAAAACCAAACTCATCAACTTCTTCTGAATCTGGTGTTTCTTCTGGACATTTCTGTCACTGGAACCCTGTTTCTTCCCATCACCCAGGCTCTAGGCCTGTAATTGATTATTTGTTTCCTCTCTTGTTCTTTGCTTTCCAATCAATTCTTACAGCAGGTCAATTCTTCACTGTCTTACAGTTTTCCATTCTATTCTCACATGCAGGTAGGACTTTCATTACCTTTTAACTGGACTATTAAAGTGGTTTCCTAAATTATCTTTTTTGCTTCTAGTTTTTCTTTGTTTCAATCTATCCTATATAGTATCTATATGAATATCTCTAGACATGGCTTTATAGAATCATGTCCCTGCTTAACAGTGAACTCCAAACTGCTGCTTTTCAAAGTACCCTTTGGCCTGTGATCTGACTCAATTTGCCCTGCCAGTTTTAGATTCCATTACTTTGCTTCATGGGCCTTCTATTTCAGCCAAGCTAGAATGTTTGCCTTCCATCAAATATCCTTTTTCCACCAATATGCCTTTTCCAAACTAAGCCCTCTCCCTGGAATGCTCAAGTTCAACTTTCCATATTAAGACTTTATCTGTTTCAGAATTACTGTAGCACTTTTGGGATCCCTCTTGTACTACTGCATTATATAGTCTTTTAACTTTGCTTAAATAGAAAGCATCTCTAAGGCAGAAACTAGGTCTTATTTTACTCATACTCAGTACATGATATTCATAACCTGTATACTCAAGTATTATCATTAACTTCTACATATGCCTCTTGGGAATTCTATAGCTCATAGGTTCAGTGACTACCCAAGGTCATACAATTATGGTAGAGATGGGCCTCAACTCCCAATCCTGTTTATGTTGGTGGGTGGCCACATTCCGCTGCTGCTGTAAATATTTCTTGGTGAGATAAATTGATTCTGTTCACTCTCATAGGCATATACATTATGCTGAAATTTTTCTTGAGTTGTTTATTTCATCTTTTCCTGAATTATAATGCCAGGAATGCCAATACTCAGTGGTACAGTGGAAACTGAAGCATTTTCAAAAAGTATATTATGCTGACAGAGAAGCCCAGGGAAATTTAGAAGTTATAGGCAATCTCACAATTATCTTGATTATTTTGAATTCCCATTGGTTCCTGAATTTTTGGGAGACAGCATTTTCAGGCTGCATTTTAAGAATCAGCTTTAAGATTAATATACATTATTCCATTAACCTCTTCTTTCCCGGTATGAAAATTTAGTGCCTATCCTTTGTGCTTAAATTTGAATTTATACCTTCAGTTACAACCCATTTGAATGATATGTCCCTGTATAGGCTACCTTTAGATAAACAATTTCAATGTCTTTTGCAGATCCTGCTTATAAAAAATACATTGTAGATTGAAAAGGCTCTGCCAGTGGTTAACATTGCCCATGAAATACCTACCATACAAAGCTATGCCTAAGAGCAAGTGTCTTTTCTGTGTACCCAGGTGGCTGCCTACTCTGCAGATACATACAGCCCAGCTGGGCCTTACTACACAGGAGTTTCTTAAAAACTGGAGATTCTCTGGCTCCTTTGCTTGCCATTTCCACACACCATTGACTGAGTTGTCTTGTAGATCTCTGTGTTCTGTCACCCTCAGCAAACAGGTGCAGAGCATAGAATATTGAGGGCCATAAACAGAAGTGCCATTCCTCACACCTGGATGTATTCTTCCTGTCCCAGTTAATGGGTCATTTTTTATTGGAGGCAACATAAAATAAAGATGGTTCACATAGTTATCATATTTTTATCCAGTTTCCTCTGGCACTCAGGATTCGTGACAATATGAGTCAACTAGGCTGTCAATGTAACGTTCCCTTTGTCATTACTACTTCATATAACAGATACTTAGGAATCTAGTATTTGACTTTTTTTTCCTTGCCTCTGCACAGGCCGTTATCAGTGCAAATCCTAATTCCAACACTCCCTAGCTGTGTGAACTTGGACAAGGTGGTTAGCCTCTCTGACTCTGTTTTCTCATTTATAAAACAGAGTCAATCTGAACTCTTGAGGGATATTTTGATGAAAAAAAAAAAAAGAGTGTGCCAACTTTGTCAAATTGCTTTTAAGAGTGAGAGCAAACTATTCAACATTCAAAATATAATTAAAAATTTCAGACCATCTAAAGACCGTTACATATTTCACTACTATAGCTTTTTTCTAGTAGCCAGTGGAGAGTGGATATTTGAGTGTGCCTGACATTTAACCTCAGGGCTCTAACCTACGTGATTCTGATGACATTGTATAAGAAGCTGGCCATCAAATCTCTGCCAAGTTTAGTTGCACAATCACCAACAATCCTGGGTGTGCTATAGGACATCTTTGAGCTTGAACTATATGACATTCCTCTTCAGCCTCCAAATGAGCATGCACCTGATTTGGCTCTTTACTTGTTTGCTAATCAGTGGATGATATCTTGACCAAGTTAATAGTAAATTTGGGGATTGGGGATTATAAGGAAAGCTTGAATATGACCTCTAAGTAAACTTTAGTGGGAATGTTGGCCAATCTCCCACTAAGGCAGTAATTTGATTGTCTTAAACATTTATTAAGTACCTATTTTGTGTCAAGCATAGCAGACTGCCTTGGGGTTATAAGAAGATGCAATCTGGTAGTTTTTCATTGGGAGTTGTCACTAGTGTAAGCTTGAAGAGAATAATCTTCAACATAGAGTTGGCTCTAGCTGGAGGTCTCCAAGGCTTTTGCTGATTTAGGGGTTTTCCAGAGGACTAAACCTGGCATCTTTTAAATGTTTCTGGTCCTTGGCCATTGCCACACCACCACAAATTAGGTAAACATTCAGACTGTTAGGCTCACCACCAGATTTCACACACATCACCATTTTCTTGGAATGCCATTGATGTGATCCCTAATTCTTCCTTTTCTGTAGCACTCATTGTAGAAACAAAGATCTCATGGGACTGTTGTAAGGATTAAGATTTAATATACGTAAAGAGCAAAACAAACAGCTATCTGTGGAACTATAGATCTATAGAACCACCAATGTAATTTCTGATCATATTAATAATAAGTATGCAAGCTACAGCTAGGTAAAGGAGATTCAACCATTTTACATCTGGCAGCTCTTGGTCCTGTTTAAGAATCTTGAGTCTCAAACTTACTAGCATTAGTTCCAGGGTGTGGCAGAAATCTAATGGTTAGTTTGGTTACTTAAATCAGGTAGAAGTACAAAGGCCAAATGGCATATCCTTTCCTGCAAGCACGAAAAACCCAATCGGAGAAATTGGAGTTTAGAATTTAAGTGTTAACTCAACAGGGTTACCTTGAGTCTGCAGCCTTAGTGATCCAGAGGATGCAGTTGCTTTCACAGTTCAAATTTCCATTCTTAAGCCATTGCAGCTCAGATCTATCCTCTTTCTTCTATACTGCTTGGTCAGCCCTTTGGATTTCCTTTCTTCTTCCCCTGTTCCTTCCCTCTCCTCTGCCTGTCCCCAGTTGTTTATTGAGCTTCTCGTATGTGCTTGACACTATTCTAGGCACTGAGGGATTCTCTGTGATCAAACAATCTCTACTTTCATGAAACCTATTCTAGTCGGAGAGAAAGATGGTTAAATATATAATGTCAGGAAGTGATTATGTACTTCATCAATATTTGGGATGTTTCCTCCTTTAGAAGAACAAAGAATTCTAGAGAGTGTCCCAATACCCAGAGAGTTGGGTTTCTATATGACACCTATAGCCTAAGAAATTTGGACCTTAAAGGCCCAGACCTTGAGCTTATTGTGTTTGCTGAAATTAGAAGATACAGCTTCCCAAATGTTAGCTGTGGTCTTCAGAGCAGAAGAGAATACAAGGGTCCCAGAAACCACACCCCCCTTTCTTATGCAGCTATTTCAGCCTGGACTCCATGAACCATATCCAACCCTTCATTCTCAGCTCATGGACTAACTCTGAGAAGCTCTGTAGTCTGTATGAAGAGCGCTTGAATGAAGCAAATGCAAAACTAGATGAAGTGACTCAGTTGGTAAATGACCTGAAAGCACAGAAAACAAAGCTATGGAGTGAGAATGGTAAGTAACTGTGCTGCTTTGGGTGTGAGTGAGCCTCAGTCCCAGCAGCCTGGTGGAGGGACAACTGAGATGATCAGTCAGGCACTGAAACGGAGTGAGCATTTAAAGACTCTAGGGGAGGAATGCAACCTCTGATTTAACCTTGTCCACAGATACGCTCTTGTCTGGTGAGGGTTACCTCTGTGCTGGTTTGGGAGGCTCGGCCCAGCTTCCTTCAGGAAGGAGAAAAGCAATATGCAGTTGGATGAAGCAACTGCCAAGATCAAAGGATGGCAGGGGCTGTCCACACAGCCTATAAGACATGACTTTTTATAATGTCAACCTCATTGAAACAGACATTTTTTTCTAATTTTCAATAACAAACCCATACTTTTTTTTTTACACTTAGTAAAAGCCATAGTCTGTACAATGGCCTACAAAGGCCACGTAATTGGGCCCCTCATTATCTCTTCTACTACTTTACCCTTCTCTCATTCTGCCTTGACTATGTTTTTAACACACCAGGCACACTCACATCCTAGGGTCTTGCCCTAGCTTTTTCCTCTGCCTGGAATACTCTAATAATTCTCCAGAGACTTGAAGATGAGGGTTAATCAAACAGATATCTGGGGGATGTCAGTATAGGCCTTGTTGAGAAGGTGACATTTGACTGTTCTCAATCCGTTTTCTCTCTGTGCTTCTTTTTTTATAGTATTTAATACCTTCAAACAAACTACATACTTGGCATGATAAATGTGCTTATTTGTCTATCTCTGTCTGCAAGAATGTAAGCTTCATGTAAGCTTTGTTTTATTCACTGATGTATGTCAATCATCTAGAACAATGCCTGCCACTTATTGGTGCTGCACAAACATTTGATAAATAAAAGGTAGAAAAATGTACACATTTTACTCTCTACTATCAGCTACTAATGATAGTTTTTTTGTGTGTTTTGTGGGTTTTTTCTTTTCCCCAATCTTTTACATTGTGGCAATTTATTTGGGTTTTTTCTTTTTCAATTTGTCATAAGTTTTTTTTTTTTTGGTATCTTGCATATTTAGTCATTTATAATGGCTGCTTCTAATCCATCAAGTAGAGGGACCATGGTTTACTTAACCTTGCCTTGTAGCTTGACTTGTTTCTCTGCTTTGAACAGCATGTGGCTAGATGTTTCTCTGTAATTAGAATTATTTTTAGGAATATGTTTCCAGAGATCAAATTCCTAGGTCAATAAAAATAAGCAATACTCTTGATGTCCAGAGGCACACACTTTACAATGAGAATAAAGACCATTTGGGCTATATCACATCCTGCTAGTGGGCACCTGTTTCTAGATGTTAAATCTAGAATTACAGCTAAATTAAAATGGGCTGGTAAAACGAACTATAAACCTAGAAACCCAGAAGAAAGTGTTTTTGGTTCTAGCAGGGACACTGAAGAGGACTCTAATAGTGGGGGCAGGGTGTGTGACACTTGGCCTTGTTACAAAACCCCAAATTTGATCTCTGCCATTTAGGATGTAGTCTGTGGACTCCACAGTCCAGTGACAAGACTGGAGAATACCCATATGTCCGGTCCTGCATGATGTGCTGTACAAAATTGTTGTGATAGGCACTGCCTACCTCCCCCTAGTTATTGGCATTAATTTTCCACTCACTTTTTTGATGAGGAAATTAGTGGGTAAGTGAGTGAAGTGAAAGTGGGTGTGAGGTGATAATTCTGCTCAGGATGGAGGACCTTTTCTTCCTTCCTTTAATTCTTACTTTCACCTTTTGGCTTTGTGTGAATTAAAATTTAAGTATCTACCTATCCAAACCTCCCGTCCCCTCACTGGGTCTATGCTCCAGATTTTTTGCTGCTTTTTTGCTACTACCACTAGTCTCATGCCCTGCCCTGTCCACATCTCACACTCTGCTTTCAAAGCAAACCAGTGGTAAATGCGGTCGATTAAGTTAAGTGGGTACTTGTTCTGTAGGATACGTGATATGTCAGTCTCAACCCCTGGTGGATTGGCATTTCTTCAGACTCCTTTTCAATACGGTGCTGTCACCCAGAGATTTTCAGTTTGGTCCACAGAACACAGGCGATCATCAAGACCCTTGGAGGGGGCCTATGAGGTTAAAATGATTGCTTTTTAAGTTCTTTTGCGATTTATATTGATGCTGCAAAAGCAGTGACAATTAAAACTACTGAAGTCTCATTGTGCATCAAGAGAGTGGCACCACACTGTACTAGTAATCATTATATTCGCTGATACGTAGTCAAAGTTTGAAAAAAAAAAATGTCAGTTTTAAGTGAGAATGTCCTTAATGAAGCAGTAAAAATTAATTTTATTGTATCTTGACCCCAAGTATATATCTTTTTAATATTCTCTCTGACAAATGAAGTATGTGTAAAGCACTTCTATATTTTTGTGAAGTTTTTTTATTTTAATTCCAGCATAGTTAACAGTGTTATATTAGCTTCAGGTGTACAATATAGTGATTGAACAATTCCATACATTGCTCAGTGCTCACTGAAATAAGTGTGCTCTTAATCCCCTTCACCTATTTCACCCATCCCCCCATCCACCTCCCCTCTGAAGTATGATGTGTGACTAAGTTCTGAGCTGAGCTAGCAGGTCTTTTCAGGGAGCATCCTATTTACTTAAAAGGACGATTGACAAACAAACTATGTTTATTCTGACTCAGATATTTGGCAGATATTTTCTCAAAAGTGAACAAAGTGAGCCTGTTGCTTCAAGGAAAACAACTGACATTATTTGTTGCCAATAATAAAATTGGAACTTTTAGGCAAAAATCAGATTTTGGAAAATGTGTATATGTCATCATGAGCCTGATGCTCTCAATTCTTAAGACTTTTCTGATGAGATCAGTAGTGCTGTTAACTGACATGCGTTTTAAATATTGTTTGGAACATGTCAACATTTTGGAAGGTCTGCGTAATGCGGTGAACACATATTTTTCAGATCACCACTTCATGATGTTATACAGTCACGTGTAGGTGAAAGATCCATTCAAAGTTTAAGATAGACCCATGAATTTTAATGTAACAGAGGAACATACTGCAACTAATCCTCGAGAAATTTCTATTTGTTGAATTTTGGTGTAGTATCAAATAATGGTCACAATTATCTGAAAAGGCTATGAAAATATATCTCCCTTTTCCAATGTATCTGTGACAGGCTAGATTTTCTTCACATAATTTAATAAAAACAGTATTACAATAGATCACATTCAGAGGCAAATATGAAAATCTAGCTTTTATTAAGCCAAGGATTTTTAAAAATGTAAAATAATGTCATTTTTCTCACTAACTTTTTTGTGTTTTTGGAAAATATAGTTTTTACTCTTAAAAAATTATTGTTTAGGTAAACATGTTAACACATCATTAAGATTTTTATTGTTATTTGAAAATGAATTAAGACGAATTTTAAATTTTTCTTTTAATTTCAAATATGCTGTCTATTAAATATAAAATTCATGTAAACAAAATCTCTTTGGGGTTCCCAATAAATTTTAAGCATATAAAGTGTTCCTGAGACCAAAAAGTTTGAGAATTGCTGCTTTAACCAAAACAGATGCTTTCTTATAATGCTGGAATTTTAGAACTTGTTTATAGCAAGAGGTACATGGGTCACAAAATTGTGAGCTTTTAGTGTTGCACTAACTACATTACAGAAACAACCGCCTCTGCCCAGGATTGGCTCAGTATTTGGTACCATTGCTAATAATCAAAGCATTGCCGTCCTATCATCAGCAAAAAAGACAGGGTAGACTACTGTAAAATGAAATTTCCCCCGTCATGGTCCTATCCTCCACTATTTAATGACAATTTCTAATATTTGTTTAGCAGTCTACAAAACACATTCACATTAGTGAAAACACATTAATCACAAAACACATTTAATTTCCATTAACAATTTTTAAAAGATTTTTATTTATTTTAGAGAGTGTGCGAGCAGGGAGTGGGGGCCAGAGGGAGAGGGAGAGAGAGAGGAGAGAATCTAAAGCAGACTCTGCAATGAACACAGAGCCTGACACAGGGCTCGATCTCATGATCCTGAGATCATGACCTGAGCCAAAACCAAGAGCCGGATGCTTAACCGACTGAGCCACCCGGGCGCCCCAACAACTTTTTATTGTTATCCTCATTTTACAGATGAGGCAAAGAAGTTGTAATTACCTGAAGATTATATAGTCAGAAATTGGTAGAGCCACATAAAATAAACAAGGGAGCATAACACAAAAGAATGTGTTCTTCAGGGTTAAAAATTTAATTTGAATCTACCTCCACTAGATACTGGCTATGCATGTTTGTGTCTCAATCATATATAAGTTAGTTGCCCTGTTTCCCCTTCTTTAAAGTGGGTAATATAATACCAACATGATCACGGACTTATGGGAATTAAGCTGGATCGTAGTACCTGCTGCATAGAAGAGTCTCAATATATGGTAGCTAATATTACCTGTTATCTACCCAAACTTACTGCTAAAAATCAGTTTTTTATCAGGGCTCTTTTGTCTGTCCCGGAACAGATCATGCCATGGTTTTGCTGATAACTGGACTCTCAGACCCTTGCTAAATATTAAAAACATGTGTTAGGAGGCATTGTGGTTGCCCTTCAAGTGAACAAGTTATGGGAGGAGGCAGTGGATGAGGAGGAAGGCCGTGATTAACTCACTTTGTGAAATCTCTCTGTAGGAGAATTCCTGAGGAGGCTGGAAGAAAAGGAAGCTCTGATAAACCAGCTGGCTTCCAGGGAAAGGAGCAGCTTCACTTGGCAGATAGAAGAACTGAGAGGGCAACTGGAAGAGGAATCCAAAGTAAGGCATCTATTATTTCTCACCAGTACCTTGACTGTGTGTGTGGAAAAAACAGTGCTTGATGGGTCAACCTCAATATCTCCTTCTATGAAAGAGAGGAAAGTGCCCCAGAAGTTATGGGAAAAAGAACATGGTGGACCTTGTATGTGCTGGGAAGGAACTTCATCACTGAAGGATCTTCCTCACTGACTCCAACTGCTTGTCTAGTTTGTCAGATTTAGATAGAGCAAGCAACCTGTGTATTTCCATTTTGCATTATTACGTGAACAGGAAGTCAGCAAGGCTCTTTATGGATCTTTGATTCTGAATTGCACCAAGAAGTTCAATTAAATAAAAGACCAGAATGAAATAAATGGGGCTGGCTGAGTTCAATATTACTTTTAAGTTGTCAATAACCTATACGTATTGGTCATTTCTTCCCAAGAGGGTATATAATGTTGCTAGCAGGTGACGCCAGTGAAAGTGGTCCTTTAAGAGAAAGCAGAGTGACTACCGTGAGGGAGAAATTCTTTGAACTCTGATATTTCAAGTTAATTCTTAGTTCATCTTCGAGGCACCTTGTTCCTGACACCTCACAGTGCCTCACTGTACATGATCTCCCTGCAAAGGCATCTACTCTGAGGTGCAGGTCATGAGACTGTAGACTTTTGTTCTTACATATTTTATTTCATTCCCTCCACTCTCCTTATTTTCTATGTTATATATGTATTTTTTAAATGACTACCATGGTTTGTGCACCAGACATTCTGCTAGATACTTCTCTCGTGATATCTCAATCTTCACATAAGTCCTAGGAAACGGGTAGAATTCGATCTTTTTACATGAAGAAACCAAGGCTCTGAGAAGAAAAATAACATGCCCAAGGTCATACAGCTAGTAGTAGAGTGTGAAGGAATTGCTGCCGGTAGTGAGATGACTTAACTGAGATTTTAGAAGATCTCTCTGGCTGACTTCCCAGTGGCTTCCAGCTGGCCTCAGAGGCCCCTCTGCTTGGGCTCAGGCCTCCTCCTGCACCTTACGTCATACGTCTTCTTCCCTCATTTCCTCCCCTCCAGCCGCCCAGGCCTCCTCTCTACCTTATACAAGTCACCATTACTCCTGCCATAGGACTTTTGTAGCTGCTATTTCCACTGCGTACAGGCCCTTCCCCCAAGACCCTTGGGCAATGATGCAAAGGAGCCAACCAGCCTGCATCGTCATTCTTTTTTAGTTCCTTACTGCTGTCAGCATTTAAAAAAATTAATTTGTTTATATGTTCATTTTGTGTATCCTCTCACCCCTTTATGGCTCCTTAGAGCAAAGGCTTTATCTTCATCTCACTTACTTCTGTAAACACTAATGCCTTGAACAGGTGCTCAATAAATATGTGAGAGGAGTAGGATCACAATTTAAAGCCAATTTTATTGGATTTCAAAGCCTGCCTCCTTCCCAGGGTCACTTTGTATTGTTGCTCCTCTTTCAAACTGCCCAGGGGTGTCTGGCTGAGGCTGCCATTAACCTAAGCCTTGTGCTCTCCGAACTGCATCCACGGACTGAGAAGATGCTTTTTTTCTAATTTGCAGAAAGGACCCATGAGGACCGGCACAGACTCCACTAGACTAGGTTTTTCCCACTAGACTAGGTTATCTCTTGGGAATGATGTCTCTAGGTTAACCAGACTACCGTGGAAGTGACAGGAATGTTCACTAAACTCAGCTCTGCTGTCTAAACACCATGGTAGCTGCTACTGAACCACAGGTGGCTATGTGAATCTAAGTTTATTTAAATTAAAACTAAAATTCAGTTGTGACCACACATTGTACTAAGCACATATAGAGTGTTCAGTAGCTACATGTGGCTATGGTTACCATATTGGATGGTGCATATATAAAATATTTTCTTTTTTTTTAAATAGGATTTATTTATTTATTAGAGAGAGAGAGCAAACACGAGCAGGAGGGGTAAAGGGAGAGGGAGAGAGAATCTCCAGCAGACTCCATACTGAGCAGGGAGCCTGACGCGAGGCTCCATCTCACAACCCTGAGATCATGACCTGAGCCAAAACCAAGAGTTGGACAGTTAACCAACTGTGGCACCCAGGTGCCCCTGAAGTATTTTCATCTATAGAAAGTTCTACTGGATAGTGCTGTTTTAAAGTGATCAGAGATAGTGTTCAGAGATTTACATGTGAAATAAAAGATTTTGTTTTTTCATCAATGAATGAAAAGCTGGACCAAATCTCAGTGATCCCATTTAGGCCAATAAGATCTCAATCTTAGATAGTGTTAACTATAAATCTTCCTGCCTAGATGATAGGGAATGTTCTTGCTACCTTTGCATTTCCCCACTATTTCCAGAACTATTGCCAGTTGCTGAAGCCCACATAGTCAGGCAGGCATTTCCCTAAATAGAACACTGTTCCCTGTTGTAATGGTAGCAATTAGATACTGGATCCTTTCTCATCCCAAATTCTTTCCCTGGTATTATCTTACTAGGTTCAGGTTCAGCTTGAATTTGCGGCAGGTTGTTATTAACCTCATCTAAAAAAAAAAAAAGATGTCACCTCCAAGCCCTTCATTGTTAATGGTAGCGATGCCCTTTTTTAATGTGTGTTGTGTCTGTTAAGTCACAGAGTGCCCTGGCCCAGGCCCTGCAGTCAGCCAATCATGACCGTGACCTTCTCCAAGAGCAGTATGAGGAAAAACAAGAGGCCAAGGTTGAGCTGCTCTGGGCTCTCTCCAAAGGCAATAGTGAAACGGTGCAGTGGAGAATGAAGTATGCAGACGACATTGCCCAGAGGACTGAGGACTTGGAGGATGCCAAGTGAGTGGGGCAAGGCAGACCTGAATCCAGAGGTAGTTATACAGCAGGGGATGAGGAGAGTGACTGTGTCTTAAAGGCCTCATGTAGACATTGAACAAATCGCTACCAAGTGCGTGAATAAGCCCAAGACCAAAGCTTAAACAGCCACGGCCGGCAAAGAGCACATGCTCTGGTGGGGCTAAAAAATAACAATTATAATAGAGTAATAAAAACTAGAAAGAGGTCCTCGTGAAAGAAAGGAGGCTCTTTCTAGGGCACAAGGCAAGTCTTCAGAGAAGACGTGACTTGAGCTAGGGTTTGAAAATGGGCTAACCCTTAGAATCATGTACTTGATTTGGAACATTAAAATAATGGAGTCCATGTGTGTACATGTCTCCATACATTAAAGTCAGTTATGTCTCTGGTCTACGACTTGGAGACCACAAAGTGCTCTGTGAACATGCACAGAGACGGCTGGAAACATATCAGGAGCTGTCATCATGCCTTAAGTGCTAAGAATTTCTTTGAAAAGAAGTCACCCTCAGACCACCTCTAAGGTTAGAATATCAGTTTTATAGCCAACACTACATAAAGGCTTTAGAAGTCCTTCTCAGGAACTACAGGAGCTTGGGGCCTAGATGAATCAAGACCTGGTACCAGAGTGTAGAACTGAAGCATTTTGTTCAGAGGTCAAAGGACTGTGTAAATTTGAGAGAAGTGTCAAGCCAACCCCAGCTTTATAGTCATTAAAGGTTTACTCAAAAGAGTGTGTCCCTGGCTTGGCAGCTTAGCAAAACTTCAGGGAAGATCAATCCAGTTCTCTTTAGTTTCAACCAAAAATATTGTTTTTCAGTTCTTCACCTAAATCTTTGAGAGACGTGGCTGTGGACTTGCTCAACAGTCGCTATGTCCTGTCTCTGGAGGGGTACCAAGTGATCTGTCTCTGAAGCTGCAGTAACTTAAAAAGGGCTTTGGGATGACAGATACTAAGAATACCTGTGGTAGATGTTTGAAAAATGCTGGGCCACGGGAAAGTAGGGCTTTGAACTGAAATGGCTCCTCATATTGGAAATAGGGCATTTGCTTCTAAAGTAAGATACTTTTTTTCTGCTATGATGGAAGAATGTGGGTGAAAGTGCCTACCAGTGACAGTGTTTGCAGGTTTCTTTGGGAGGGGTAGAAAAGAGGGAAAGCATATAGACTGCTTACGACCACATGGATTTGTTGAGCTAACAGATTGTTGTCCTGCAGTACATGACAACTAAAGAGAAATAATGGACAACATGGTAATATCCGAATACCTCTTCTGCTTTAAACTTATTATTATTTTTTTTGAGAGAGAGAGAGAAAGAGAGAGCTCATGTGTGAGAGTTGCGGGGGGGAGGGTAAGAGGGGATGGGCAGAGGGAGAGAGAGAATCCTAAGCAGGCTCCATGCCCAGCGTAGAGCCCTATGTGGGACTCAATCTCCTGACATTGAGATCATGACCTGAGCCAAAATCAGGAGTCAGCTGCGTAACTGACTGAACCACTCAGAGCCCCAAAACTTAATGGAATATCAAATAAATAAAACGTTGTCTATATTATACCCCAAGGAGACAGAACTACAAAAAAAAAAAAAATCTGGGATTCTATTTTTTTTTTTTAATTGGTTTCACAGGATGAGTTAGTTTAGCTGAATCAAGCTCACCTGAGACCCAGTTGACTGTTTCTGAATTTCACATTCCCCAAGAATAGGGATTTGGTTTCTTAATCTTCCACATCTTGTAGATTCTAGTACGGAGTAAGAACTTATGGTTGGCAAATTGAGGAACAAATGGTAGTTGGTATGAAAGGTAGACAGTATTATCAGTGAGATGAGGGTGACCAACTTGCCCATTTTGCCTGATGGAGTTGTGGGCTTGCTGATTTTGGCACTGATGGCTCCATGTCCTGGTGAAACCCCTTGGTCCCCCCCACACATTTGGTCACCCAAAGTAAAATCCCTATTTTTTTAGTATTTCTGAAGTATTTGAGTATTTCTAAAGTAATTAAAATACATGTAATTATTTTATAAGACCCCTGTTTTAGGTGGGGTAAAGCATCAGAATCTCCTTTCTGCTCCAGCTTTATTGAGATGTAATTGACATTTGTATATATATTGACATTGACTTGCTGAGACCAAGTCTAGATTCCTCTGGGCCCCAAACTCCTATATACCATTAAATACGTTGAGGTTATACAATGTGATGATTTGATATATGTACATATTGCAAAGTCTTCACCACAATGTAGTTAGTTAACACATCCTCTACCCTACGTAATTACAATTTGTTGTCGCTATGATGAGACCATTAAAGCTCTAGTCTCACAGCAACTTTCAAATATACAAGACAGGATTGTTAACTATAGTCACCATGTGGTATTTCTTGTTGGGACGCCTGGGTGGCTCAGTCAGTTAAGCACCGGAGTCTTGGTTTCGGCTCAGGTCATGATCTCAGGGTTGTGGGATCAGACTCCGTGCTCAGCGGGGAGTCTGCAGGAGATTCTCTCTCTCTCTCTCTCCCTGTCCCTCTGCCCCTCCCCCAAATGCTCTCTCTCTCAAATAAATAAATAAATCTTAAAAAAAAAAGAATCTCCTCTTAACATTTAAGAAAAATGAACCAAAGATGTGAAGTTGCTATGGTTAGGAAGTCGGTGAGCAAGGAGTAGTTGTTAGAGCTCAGATTTCTCCTGGATGCCGAGCACAGATTGGTTTTTGCAGGATTCCAACAAAAAAGGGGTTTTTATGACCACATTGGTCTGATGGCCTGCTTGTGTGGCACGTGTTCATTCCAGAGGATCTGTTTCTGTTTAATAATAGTAGATCAGAAAGAGCTTTGGTACACACAGTACCTTTCATCTAAGAAGTGTAATGAATGGGTAAGAATGGGGCTGCCAGCGTCCCTGCAGGAGATGGAAGCAAGAGAACATATTTCATCCATTAGAAAGCCTCAGGGCACCGCATTGTGGGGATGGTGGAGGAAGCACTTTAATAAACCCCTCTATCTCAGAGGATGCTAGAGGGATAACAGCAGGGGCTAGAGTCCCCCCTGAGAGCAGTGGGACCTGGGAAGTGAGCATAACAATGGGGAGATGGATTTGAGTATATAAATTTGAGAAGAGCAGCTGAGGTGGAGAAAAAATTCAGAGAAAAGACAGAATTTTGGCATGTTTAGGAGCCACATGATAAGAGGGAGACAGAATGAGCAGGAGAGAACCAAAGAATGTTCCTTGGAAGCAATGTAGTAAGGAGATCTTTAAAGACTAGATGTGCCTAAGAACTTTTAACAAGTGCTTACTGCTGGTGGGGTGTTTGGTACAATCTTCTCTTTCTCCCATTTTTTCTTTCCCTAAGGATTTTATTTATTTATTTGACAGAGAGAGATACAGTGAGAGAGGGAACACAAGCAGGGGGAGTGGCAGAGAGAGAAGCAGGCTTCCTGCTGAGCAAGGAGCCCGATGCGGGGCTCGATCCCAGGACCCCGGGATCAGTCGCTTAACAACTGAGCCACCCAGGCGCCCCTCTCCCATTTCTTAATGAAGTCACCCTTAAAGTCTGTATTGCTGATAGAAGGTTTAAAGTTAAGCAAATATTTATAGGAGTAGAGATCCTGAGTTCCAAGACGAGGTTGGCAAAGCGTAGGTGAAAATAAAGCGCACATGGACATCTGGGTTCTCTCGGCACAAAGAGGGCCCCCCCTGCTTTGTACCCAAGCACTGTTTTAATCCAGGACAAACTGGGTGAGCCCCCTGAGGGTTGCAGCTTCACTTGCCATTTGCTTGGGTCTCCCCTTCTCAGGAAGAAGCTGGCCATGAGGTTGCAGGAGGCTGCTGAAGCCATGGGGGTAGCAAATGCCAGAAATGCTTCCCTGGAGAGGACCAGGCACCAACTGCAGCTCGAGCTGGGGGACACCCAGTCTGACCTCAGGAAGGCCTGCTCCCTAGCAGCTGTGCTGGACCGGAAGCAGCGGCCCCTGGACAAGTGCCTGGACACCTGGAAGCAGAAGCAGGAGAGTCACGGGCCGTGCTGGGGGCCTCCCCGAAGGAGGCCCGGGGCCCTCAGCACCGAGCTCCTCAAGCTCCGGCACGCCTACGAAGAGAGCCCTGTGGGCCAGGAAACCCTCCAGAGGGTGAACGAGAATCTCCAAGGTACTCTGAGCTGGGCTTGGAGCCAGAGCAGAAGCAGGCAGGTATGGGGGGAGCCCTGGCTTCAAGGGCAAGGCTGTCCTCCAGGGGCAGGTACCTCAGCATTGTCATGGTTTTGGTCCCGCTCAGGTTTTAACTTTTCCATTTTTAATACTTTTTTTTTTTTACTACAGTTATTATTTTTATTAAATTCTAAAAATGAGACTACTTTCCTACCTTAGCCCCAGGTTCACTTCACTCTGTCAAGACAGCCACTATTAAGAATTTCTTTATCATCCATAGCCTTACCAAGATTTCCCATGTATATATGCATGCATGTATTATTCAAATTTTGCAGTATTCTACACCTTTTATTTTTTCACTTATCAATATATTTTCTAATTTGACAAATATTTCTGTAGCCTACATTATGTGCCAGACTCTGTTGTATACATAACCATCCCTCATTTAATTCTCAGAGCAGTCTTATGGGTTAGTTTCTTTGTCTGTAAAAAGCAGATTATATTAAGTCCTATAAGGTTAAGAATTTGTCCAAATTCACAGTCGATCAAAAGTAAATGTGAGATCTGAGCCCAGGCAGCTTGACTCCATGCTATGCAGACTTACCTACCGGCTGCGCCACCTCCCACATGCCTCATGATTCTCTTTGCATGTCTGTCTGTACGTGGAGGCCTGCCACATGATTGTTGATAGTTGCAGAGTGTTTTATAATAAGGATGATCAATACTTATTTAACTAGACCTCTTTCAGTTTAGATACGATTTTCCACAATTATAAATAATCCTCTACTGTACACTCTGTACATATACTTGTGGACAGGTAATAATGTTTCAGTAAGGGTAGATTTCTAGAAATGAAACTGCTGAGCTAAAGGAATGAATTGCAAAATTTTGAGATGCTGCCAACTTACACCAGCTCCACCAGTGATGTGCATTAAAACCTTGAGGTGCCCCGGAGCAAGTTCAATACTCTTGGCGGCATAAATGAATCTTGCTTCTCTGTTAGCCTACCTAGTCCGTGCTCAGTGAGACTGGGCATGTGAGAGGTGCTGGAACAGTGGTCAGAGAATTTCAGCTGCATCCAAACTGCTTGAGGGCTGGTTCAAATGGTTGGCGGGAGATTCTGATTCACTGGATCTAGGGTGGGGTCTGAGCATTTATATTTCTAACAAGTTGCCTGTGAGGCCAGTGCTGCTGGTCTGGAGACCACACTTGGTCTGGGTTCGGGCTTGGGCAGAAGTCTTTTTCGGAAGCTCTCCAAGTGATTCTGAGGTATGGTCAGAGTGGAGAACGACGGCCCCAAGTTTTCTTTGGAGAAACTCTCTTCTGGAGAGGGCTTATAAGAGAAGGATTCATTACAGAATTGTCATCTAAAGGTTTTGGTGGTGTAACTTTTCAAAACCCTTGTCACATCACATCATAGCCAGGCATCTTGGAACCAGGGGAACAGACAAGCTCTTGAGCTCCTTCCGCCACCTCTGGATGGTGGGTAATTCCCAGAGCTACTTGGCCCTGCTCCACACCTCTTAGTTACTATAGGCTTCCTTCAGGAAGAGGCAGAACTGACAGTAACAATATTGAATGGTGGGAGGTTTTGTCTCTTCTGGATGCCTTATTCTGTCAAAGACATGTGTTCGTGAGAGGCTGGCCACCAACCCTCAAGCTCTTGACCTCCTTTGGATTCTTTGGTTGATCTGCGCTCACACATCAGCTTCTGGCAGGCAATGACCCAGGTTATGCTTTCAGCTCCTATCCTGGTGTTGAGAGGCAGCGGACAGAACGGCAGCTATGGGTGTCAACAGCTAAGCCCTTACACCGGAAGTGTAGGGATTCCTTGCAGGAAATTGCTCTCCAAGCATTGGTTTTTGATTTATTTTCTTTTATATTGAAGGTGGTGTTGAGGGATGGCAGCAAGACCTTAAGGCAGGTGGAATATGCCACGGCTCTGACAAGCAGGCCCACCATGTAAAGTTGTACAGGTTGTTAAATGCACAGTACTCTGAGAAACACTGTCCTCCCCAGTTGTAGAAGGCAACTTTCTGGTGGGTGGCAAAAGAATATATTGAAGAAAAACTGGCTTTTTCAAATTCCAGCAAGGGTCCCATAGGTGCCATTGGTGGCCTTGCCCTCAGGTTTCCAAGGATGGCGTGACCACAGTCCCAGGGGAACAGTCCACTATACCCGATATCATGGGTCGGAGGCTGGTTCCTTTCACTCACTTTGCTTTTTTCCTTCTCCAGAAGAGATTTCTAATCTGACAAATCAGGTCAGAGAAGGAAAGAGGAACTTAAGTGAAATGGAAAAGGCCAAGAAACGGATTGAACAAGAGAAGACTGAAGTCCAGGCGGCACTGGAAGGAGCAGAGGTATTACCTCCAGGGAGGGAGGGTTTTTGTCATTGTGACCAAGCAGAAGGTTCTGCATTCCAGCAATAATAGCAGCAGCAGCAACAACAAAATGACACTTCTTCAAGTGTTAACTCCGTGCTAGGCACTAGGCCCAGTGCTTGATGTGCATTATCTTATGTAATCACCCTAACTAACTAGTGTCCCATTTCACAAAGGAAGACACTGAGGCTTAGAGGGCAGGATAGGCAATAGTGGATACAAATCTACCAAGTGCAATGAGAAAAGGGAACCATGTCTATCTTGTTTATGAATTTATCCCCTGTGCCTAGACCCTCATTTTTCAAAATGTGGCCCACGGATCAGCAGCTTGGAGCTGCATTGCCCTGGAGCTTGTGAGAAATTCAGACTCTCAGCCTTCTCCCCAGCTCTGTTGAATCAGAATCTGCATTTTTTTTTT